ATCCGATGGGGAGAATGGGGCAAGCTGAGTCTTTAATCAAGACAAGCCACCCCTTGTCTCTAAGTAACCAGACATCAAATTAATTATGTGACAATAGATCCAGGAGGAGTAGATATGTGCGACGTTAACAATCTGGTCTAATTTCTTTCAGTATGTTTATCTGCATACACCTCATTTTTTATGTTTTATAAAGCTCTACATGAGCTTTGTAATGAAAATGTAGATCATTTGAACACAAAGTGCATCCTAATAATATTAGGCTCAAAATATCTTTGGACAATCTTTGTAGTAACCAAAGAAGAGTCAGAGGGGACTTAAGACTTAGATATTTAAACAGCAGCAAATATATCAGAAGACAGGCAGGGTGATATTGAAGAGACACACTGAGGAAACCAACAAAGAGGAGTCGTGAACAAGATGTCAAACTCACTCACTCATACTTGACAGCCAGGTTCTAGGTCTATACTTGGTTCTTTGTTGTATGAAAGACAGTCTGTCACCATCTATGTAAGCGATATAGATAAGGTTAAAAACTCCACAAAATGAAACAGAATCCATTTTTCCATCAGAAAGTGTAATTTCCCATCTACAACAGGCCAAAGAGAAAGCACATGACTTTTTTAAAGCTTGTTTGTGTTTGAGAGACTGCCAATGCCTCAAGACGACAAAGATTCAACAAAATTCTTGGAGAGAAATCAGGGAGGCGTTGGGATGCAGCAGGGAGGAGGCTATGAAGGCATACTTAACCCTTAATCCATGCTTAGGTTCAGTTCCCCGGTAACTGTAACAAAGCACAAAGCAGTAGAGCTAATGCTATGACTTTCTTCACACTGATTTAGAGTAGCACTTAAATATAGACTCAAGTTTATGTTTCCCTTAAGTTTCCTGATATACTGCCTGTTTTATTTAACCAACAAGAAAAAAAACTAAAAAGTTATGAAACAAACCAAACCAGTAAAGTTCAGTTCATCCCAACATTAAGAATTTGTATTCTTCTTTGCATTTTATGTGAAAAACTAATTTAAGTATACAATGCAATATTATTAAAAACATTTGAGCATGAAAGTCCATTCTTGACCTTGGAAATAGTAGTTTGACAGAAAAAAGGCATATTTTTGCTGAACAGCACATTAAAGATATTGTAGTTCTGTGAATCCTATATGGTAGCTTTGCATGTTCAAAAGTTTAAAAAACAAAAATCTGTCTTAGACTGACTCTTCATGTAGGCCTTCATTTCAGCCTCTGTCTGAAACAAGCTGTAGATGCTCCTTTCTCTCCTGGCTCCCCCTCTCAAAGCCCACCGTCTTCTGATTGGCCAAAACCTGAAGCATGTTACCAGGCTGTTGTTGTCGGGTACAGACAGACTGAGCGTTGGTGTGCCGTTGCTGTGTGGAGCAAATGACCATATATGGAACACTGGCTACGTCTGGCTATGTATGTCGTAGAACGGAGCTGTTGGTAGTAAAAGCAGTTGTTCAAAACAGAGCGTTCAGAACAGGAGGAAATCTTAGGGATTTCTACTTTTGTCATGGGGCGCTGAGTGCGGGAGCTGAGGTATGGACCCAAAAGCAGACTGTAGGCGAGGTTGTTGCAGTTCGAATAAAGATTTATTGACACAAAGAACTAAACAGACTTACGCTGGGAGCACAGCGGCAGGAAGGAAAAATCCCAGAACAAAGTATAACCCATGAAGTAATCCAAAAATGCAGGGAAGGCACAGAACACTCAACACAGACAACGCAAGGACGTGACAAGGACTGAAGACAACTGAGGACAATATATACACTGGTAAGCGAGCAGGGAGGGAAGCACAGCTGAAATACATCGGGTAATCAACCACAGGGACAAAGTTAGACAAGGACACCAGGTACAGAGGATTACCAAAATAAAACAGGAAGTAAAGTTCACAGGAACACACAAGGACAGATCTACCAAAGTAAAACACAAAACATGGAAAGACCGCAAAATCAGGGCACGGACAGAGACGGGACCAAACAGGAGACAAGACTACACTAAAACATGGAGATATAAGACTAAGGACTAGGACACAGACCATAATGATAAAACACAGAAGTACACAGATCAGGAAAACACAAAAGCACAGGACTAAGAAAATAATGGCAAAAAACAGAAACACACAGGGAAAAAATACAACTCATAACAACTTTAACCAAATTTTTTGAAGCTTTGGCCATGTTTAACATGAACATCTAACATTGTAACATTATAGTCATAAAATGTGGAAAAGTATAAAAGGTCTCCTTTAAAATCCCATTTCTTCCCTACTTCAACTGGTGAGGGTTGATTTTAAATTTGTGTGCAGAATCGAGTCACTTCACTTATCTCATCTGAAATAATTATGAAAAAAAGAAACCATGCACGCTTTGTCTAGTATGTTTTTTATTTATTCATTTATTTTCTTATTACTTGAAAGAAATTGCATTCCAAAGCGTAATGCACATGACAGCAGCAGGGACAATTTCACAAGCTGATACTGCAGCTGCAATACCGCTTCAACACTTTCTACAAATAACAGAATAGGAATTTATGTTGGTTACATTGGAACCCACTGTATTGAATCCTCATCTGCAAGTATTTATTGATGCTCACTGTGTGTTAGGAAAACATGACCTCCCATTCAGAGCAAGGACAGTACAGGACATGTAGCAGTACTCAACCAACACATCAGGCTCTATCAAATCTTTTTTTGATCATTCAGGCTGTGCCATGTGTTGTAGGTCGGAGAACAACAAAGAAGACATCCTTATTAGTGGCTGAATCCAAAATGTGTTTTTTAATGATTAGAAAAAACTTTATAACACTATTAAACTCTTTGGTAATCTATACAATTTTTTTCACAACACACAGCATTCAACTTTCAAATAAGGAAATCCGTTTACTAGGTTTTAATGTTATATTATAGGGACGTATTTGCCAGTAGAGGCAGGTATTGAAAAGAACATAATCTCAAAATAACTGATGCATCAATGATTGCTAAAGCCCAAAAAGGCCACATGGAGTAAAAACTCACAAAAAGAGAAATGCCATCTTTCCTCCTATTCAAACAAGTTCTTTAACAGTTGCATTAATGATCCTGTAAATTCACATGACAAGCTAAGTTAGCGGGGTGTAATTACTTTTCAAAATAGAAAATGTTTGTTCTCTCAAACCCCCCAGCTGTAGATGTCCGTACTCTATATACATCAGTACATAAAACATCATACAAGGTTTGCAGAATAGTTTCTTCAGTTTGAAATTTTACCTAAAATCTATGTGAAGCACTTTTTCCATCAAAGCAGAACGAAACATCATTACATCCATTTGCTGATCATGGGAACTGTCGAGAAAGCGAAGCAATCTGTGAATGTGATCTATATAATTATGCAAGATCATGGACTCCATGGTAACTCAGTGATCTCAGTAACATAGCTATTACTCGCATGGCACTCACCCTAGTACCTGGACAGCTCCTACTGCTATCTGGCTGCTGACGCTTCAATGGAAAAGGGCACAGTTTAGCAGACGTTTTGTCCCCTCTGCAATGCCGCGCTAGTTGATAACACACCATATATTCTGTACAAATGTATTCATGTTGTATTATTACATAAATGTAGCTATGTTTAGAGGCACACATAATACACACAATTGTGGGAACAAATTCCCCATTTGGGGACAATAAAATTAATCTATCGATCTATGACCAGGTGGCGGTTACCAGAATTTGATTTCCACACGTGGATTCATGTTGTGCGCTGACCACCAAAATTCTCCACCTGTTTACTGCTTAGGCCTTTTGTTTTGTTCGTAATGAGTCAGTGTGAACCGGATCAGAAATAAAAGGCCCTAATGTATCAATTGTTTTCCCAACAAACTGAACCAAAGTGCAAAGTCATATCAGGAGCTTTGTCTGCACTGATTAAATATTAACAACAGATGTAGTGAGCGTTCCCATCGGGGTCGCAGTAATGACACCCTGCATCTGAAACTCTGTGGTGTTTCACACAGTTGCAAGCAGAACATCTGGCATGTCTATTATTAGTGCAGTACAACGTAGCCACTGGCAGGTAGAGCTCTTTGCAATGGAGAGTTTTGCTAGATGAAAATGGGTGTGTGCTTCAGTTCCTCAAGTGAACAGTTTTCTTTTTTTCAGTACTGATGACTGAAAGTGTCTGTCAACATATTTCTGTCATGCCATGGTAATACTAATCTACAGAGGAACAGGGATGCAGAATGTGGTCGGCTTATCAGTACCAGGCAATATCTGCTTATATACTGCATATTGGATATGTTTGTGGATGGTTGTGAATGAAATAGTGTCTTCTAGTTAAAAAGTGACATTTACAATCTTACGTCTGAATGGATGGTGGTAATCTCTACAGTACATATGTGCACTGGTAAACCCAAACAGTGTGACAAGGTTTCGAAGATCCACCTGCTGCATGAAATAACAAAGATTTGTGGAAATGTCATGCCAAACAAATGTAAAAATTGTGTGTAATTTTTTTATTAATAAATCACGACAGGTAAAGTGTCACAGTTACACTATTCAGTGGTGGACACAAAATATGATGCTGCTTCAATAAATATCTTTGTTGTTTGACTGAAAGAAATATCAACAATAAATATCATGAAATGTCAAGAAGGATGGAAATGAAATAAAGAAAGACCAGAGAAAAGGGAAGACAAGAATACTGATATTTACACATATAGCTCACATAGCCAATATAACTAACATTCCATACAATAACATACAACTATAAGATACTGTAAGATACTGCAATTGCTGTGGAATTTAACTAAATGTAAAGCATCTCACAAAATTAAAAAACTACTAAATAAACACTAAAGTAGATTATTTGAGTAAATATGTTCCACTTCTGGCCCCCAAAAGATAACACAATTTTGTATTATTTACCTAAAACTTATAGGGGATCTTGGGATCTTGATATTGAGCAGTTTTGTAATTGTTTGCTTGTCTCTCCGTATGGGAACAGATTAGGCATGGAGCACGACGGCCAAGGCAACCGCTGCGGGGACGAAACGGCGATGGGAAGCGTGATGGCTCCTCTGGTGCAGGCGGCCTTCCATCGATATCACTGGTCCATGTGCAGCGGACAAGAGCTGAAGAGATACATCCAGTGAGTTCATGTTCAAGTAGCTGAAGCTCATGACGTTTCTAAAGCACTGACGCTGGTGGATACACTCCAACATTTGAAATGTGTCTCTAACTAAAACAGCGTCACACGATCTGCAAACAGGACAATGAAAGAGCACAAAGAGTGCACAGATATCGAGTTTTTCACTCAGCTGTAAAATAATCAATTTCTGACCGGGAAAGGTCAGCAGAGCGGGACACCAAACAATGGCGTGTTAAAGAAGATGATAATGACCATGTACAATCATTCACCATAGCATGCTGTTTTTTTTTAGAGCAGCTCCAGGCTAAGTGGATCCATTGCAGAGAAAAATCAATCTATTGTATGAAAAGCGTTACTGTAGTATAATAATGTAGCATCATAAACGTAAAAGCTTTGGTTCTGAGAGCTCCAAATAGAAGCAATTTCTGAATGGAAACAGCATTTTTATTAAGAGAAGAAAGTCGAGATCAAGAGTAGCCAGTATGACTGTGCTGCGTGTTGAATTGATTGATTTAATTCTGTTGAAATTTGAAACGATTAGTTCATTAATCGATTAGTCGGCCTACAAAAAAATGCAGTTTTGATAATCAATTCATTGTTTAAGTAATTTTAAATCAAGAATAGCAGAAATAACATTCTGTGGTCCCAGCATCTCCAATGTGAGGATTTGCTGCTCGTCTCTGTTTTACAGAATTGTAAACTGAATGTCTTTATTTTTGGTTTCTGGTCAGACAGACAAATAAAGTATTTTATGTCACCTTGGGCATTTTGTAACATTTTACTCACTGATCAAACTGTTCTTCAATCTATTAATAGAGGAAACAATCTATGGACTAATCAATAATTGTTTGTTGCAGCTCTACTGACCAACAGATTATGGAGCGTGACAAGTCTGTGTTATTGTAATGATGGATTTAATGCTGTGGAATATACATAATATTGAATGTAACAGGTAAACATGGAGAAGCTTTTGAGTTTGAATTAACAGCAGAAAACGGTATCAACAGCGAATTTAAATGGGAGCAGATCAGAAAACAGGGAGACTTTCAACTAAATTATGATCACATAAACTTATAAAGCAGGGAAATTAGGGCTGATGGTTGGCTCTTCAGTTGAGGTGTCTTAATCAGGATGACAACATTGATCTCTGTTCAGTGTTTGACACCTCTTTTTTCCTTTCCTGACAGCACGTATGACTGTCTCTTGGATGACCCCTTTAAACATGATTGGCCGCAGCTTCCTGAACTTCCTGGCATCAACTACTCGATGGATGAGCAGTGTCGGTTCGACTTTGGTGTGGGCTATAAGATCTGCACTTCAGTGAGTACAGCCCTCAGGCTTCCATTTAGTGGATAAGTGCAAACTGCACAGTGTGTACCCTGCCCCAAAAATATGTCTGTAAGTGAAACTCAGCAGAGATAAAGGGAAAAGATAGAAACCATAGAAACTTAATGTGTCCTCAAAGAGCTGATAAAAATAAAATGTCATCCATATGACTAGCTTTAGATCTGGTGCTCGCAGGGCTCAGAAGTTCTGGGGAGCTTTTTGCAGAAAGACGTGTAGCGTTCTGAGAAACTATCAGGAGACTCATGTGAGCAGAATCAGATGCTAGTGAACTCTTCAAACAGAGATCTGCTTACTTTACAGCAGTCACAGCTGCTATATGGCTAGTTCTCCGCAGATGGCAGGGTGATAAACATTTTGTCATTATATTTTGTCATCAGTACAAATTTTCTTCTTCTTTAACTGGTCACAGCACCTTCATCTACACTGGCCTATAACCAATGTCATGTCACCGTTTTTTCCCCAAAGGGATAAGCTAATTAGACTGGTGATAGACCATAAATAAAAAGTTGACCTATCACACGGCAAAATATTGGAAAGGTAATATAAAAAAAGAAATGGCAGCACCTGATGAGAAATCGATTTGATGATGATTATGTCAGACCATGCGGAAAACATCACGCCCTTGCAACTAGACTTGTTTCTGTCATTTATTAACTTAAAAAAATCCCTACCTCTTACAGGGGATGAGTCATCTTGGATTTACATTTTTGGAGAAAATGTGTGTATGCTGTCAGGACTGTGCTGAGACCTTGGGGAGTTGTGGGTTGACATTTCTTTGAAAGCAGTTTTGATTTTGATGGACTCCTTGTTATCCTGCCCCACTTGGGATGATGACGTTTGATTTCAACATGTAAAAGAATCATTAGGTCACCTGTCTCCATCGGTTTCAGTAGTATAAGTTCCTCAGTTCATCGGAGCATTTCTGGCTCATAACTTTATTTTTTTATCTCAACGCAGCTGTTTCTTAGTCGAACACCTCTGATTAACCCACTGCCCAGCACCAAAGGGTAGACAGAGAAATTTAGGAACCAGCCATCCATCAGTGGCCATTACCTACCAGGCTTAGTGTTGGCTGAAACAAACCAGTCCTTGCTGACTATTGATTAGACCGCATCTATACAGAGATTTCCTGCAAGAAGAAAAAACATAATGTTTACTTGCAATATGTTTACCCTGTATAGACTCGCCTCCCATCCATCTAATGATGAGAAGGCCAGATTTCTTTTTTTTTTGTTTGTTTGTTTGTTTTTTTACAATCGATCGTCTAGACTCTAGACCTATAATGACAGCTTTAGTTTTTTTCCACAAGTCTGCTTGATTGTAGACACTGGTTCTGCATGTGATGGTCTGTGTGTCTGTAGCCCCCAAATCCTGCCTGAGAAAGATAACATTTGGTGATCATAAACATATATTTTAAGAAACACTAAATTTGTTTACTAAACTAAATGTTGATGTATTCTGAGGCTCCATTGGAGGGAGTGGTGTAGCAGCTTGATGCAGAGCTCAGGGTTGGTGAATGGAGATAAAAATAAGTGTTTATAAGACAATTCAGTGTGAAGAGAAAATGTGGAAGTGTGTCTATAAAACAGCATTTGTGCCAGACTAATCTGCCACAGTGCTCCATTCTGACCAGACAAAGATACTGGACTGTCGCTAACTGTTCTAACTATTGTCAGTTTACAGACATTTGTTTAAAACATGCAATATAAGTGAATTTAGGACAGTAAGCAAGTCATAATGTCTGTAATTTGACCAAGTTTGTTGCCCAACCCTAATCATAAATCTTTCCAATCATTCAGTTTGTGCTCCTTTCTCTCTGAGGCATGCTGGCACCAGAAATACCTTAGAAGCTGTGGGAATTCAAGTTATTACAGGAATAATCTCTTACTATTGAGATCACTCAAGTGGAAACAGTGGCAGTCACACAGGTCATTTTGAATTTCTGAGTGCAGGCAATTTTAACCAGTGGCAAGAGGTACTGAACTCATTTCAAGGCTAAAGAGTTCGCTGCAGTGTTCTTAAGTTTTAACATGAATCTGACGATAGCATCTCATCTCTCATTGACTGTAATTTGTGCGGAGGCTGAACCAAGGTATACATTAATGTTTGTATTTGAGAATTACAATTGGATACATTATAACTAGCTGAGATTTTAACCCCAACCTGCAGTCAATGCTCACTGGTCTGCTGGTGCAGAGCAAAAAATCACAATCACAAAATCAGTTATTCTCTCCAAACACCACCTTCATACACACAAACACACACACACACTCAAAATTGAGTCCAACAGAATATCCGGACAAGTAGCTATCAAACTTTTTTTACCAAAAAATTCTACAATGATTTTTTACCGTGGAATAATAGTAATCCTGTAGCATCTGGATTTTTTAAAGAATTGAGGTCAGCCTCCTTAGTTAGCCTGACCAACATACGCAAGCTTTTTGAGCGTGCAGTCCTAAACTCCTTTGTTTACACTCAGAGTGGCAATTAGAGTAATGGGAGCCACTGTACAGCAATTGTGTATCGGAGCCCAGTGGATTCTTTTTGTGTCACAAGCTAAAAAGGTTTTTGTTTGTTTGTTTAGAAAAAAAAGGCAGTCTAGCTAATTGTCTTGTGTGCTTCTGCAAACAAAGATCCACTTGCCAAGCAATTGAACATGATTGGAGAAGGGGACGTGGCTGCAGCAGGCATGTTCAGAGAGTCGTATTATTCTCTCTCAGCAGGATTCAAATCTTTCTATCAAGTCCTTATGAATGAGATGAATAGAGGAAGTGGTTCTAAATCAGCGACCCTTATCTAGGTGAATGGAACACAATGTGCTATGAAT